AGGGTGGAGGAAGAAAGTTTGAAAGTGCAACAGAGGAACAACAAGTACACCCATTTTAGGCCCATGGTACAAACACTGAGTTTATGAACCACTAAAGCCGGTATAGAAGGAAGCTTCAGTGGAAGCAGTGCTCTCAGAGGAGTGTCAACTTATGGATAGAATAGTAAGATGAAGGGACAATTTTAAGGAAAGATTTAAGATAAAGCTATTTATGATGCAGAATTTTGCTGATCCAAACAACATGAGGTACAGAGAGGCAGGTAGAAAGGTTAGAGGAAGGTAGTTTGGGGGATGTGAGGATAGATAAGGGGATGTATAGAGTCATATGGGGATGAGAGTCAGAAAATGAGGGATAATCTTGCTTATTGAGTAACTGACATGAAGTAAATGAAAAGCATCATGTTGTAATTTCTACTGACCTAACAATGTGGTAATCAATCTCATAATAATGTCATGTGATTAAAATAGAACATCATGATTTTTTTTTCAAATAGAAAAAAAGTTCCAAAGAACTTTCAGTATGAACCATGTATAGAAATTCAATGATACTCATAAGCATAACAAAATATAAACTCCACCTGTAAGGAAATTATAACTGAGTTGGGAATTTAAGCCCTATGTATGATAATTTCTGTAAATACACTATTTTGTAAAAATGAAAAATTATAAGGCTGTTAGAACACTCTATTTAAACAAGCCCCAAATGTGTGATATATTTTGAAAAGTATAAGTTCAGAGGAGAGATAAATGACCGTGGTCTGGGACCAGATAACTGTTGACTGATGAGGTATTATGAACACAGTGAGGAGTAACACAGTGGCAAGGAGAGAAAAAGTCCCTGGGAGAAAGAGAGAGAAAAATTTAAGGAACTTTGCTGTGTCATTAGATTTTCTTCTTTCTATTTAAAGCACACATGCTACATACATATTGAAATATTTTATTAGCATGATAATTAATTATTAGATGATTATATTCTTTTTCAAGTGTATTAACCAGCTTGTCTCTACTGACATAGCAATACATTTCTATTTTTAATTATGCTACTGACATAAAAAAAATCAGAAAGCAAAGACAGCAGATGTGTATTCCACGGGATTTAAAGACTCATCTACCCTCCATTGCACCCGCTTAGTTTCAGGCAGGAAGAAACACTTCCTAATGAGTCAGATGATTACCAGCATTGGGTTTATTTAGAGGAATTCCATGTGTGAGGGTGGGCTTGAGTATACTCAGAAATGGAAATGGGAATGCTATCCTTTCGACATTATTAAAATAAAGACGTGCTGACAGTGCTTTGCACAACTGAGGTTTGTCAGTTGTTACTGTTTTAAAGTGCAGCTTCAATCTAGATGCTCTCCTACCAGGGACTAATCTTATAGGTGTTGGTAGGCTGCCCACATGGCAGAGGTATATACTATAAAAAGCAGAAATTGAAATCATGCCATGGACTTGGAAAGTCTATGACAAGAATTCTACTGCCATCAAGAGCATCTTTCCTTCATAGCAGGTTAAATGTGTTTCTGATCCAATTTGTAAAACTAAATCCTTGTTGGAGAAATAGACATTCTAGCTCTCCAAAGCACTATGAAATACTCTCTCTGCGCTGAGTTGCAGTTTAATATTTGGTTCCACATTTAATCTAAATAATCCACTACAATCATAGATGGTATTAATCATTAATTTGCTCTGAGCGTTGGAAGGATACCTACATACTGATCATCTGTCACAAAATGAAGAAAACCTTTCTTTTGATTTCAGATTGTGACCTTTGCTTGGTTATTTTAAGTGAACAAAACACTTCACATTTATTACAAGCTAATGGTCTGTCTACAAATATGTTATAAAATATATTTTTGATTCTGAATTTTTTCAATTCCATGTTTAAAATGCTGTATTATTTTCTAGTTTTTTGGAGTTGCCATTTTTTTTTTTTTTTTTTTAGGAAATCTGATGATTTCAAAAATGTTCAAGATATTCGATAATCTGAAAGGGGTTTCAAAGTTTCACTTCTCTCAGTATTTAATTATAGCCAATCTTAGGTAATACGCCTGTGTAGTTACAGTGGAAAAATTCTTATTGCTCCCGAAATGAATCTAACATATTCCCCCAATAAAAGTTTTACTTGGATACTGATTCTTAAATATTATAGTATCACAGAGTTCATGGTATGTTTGTTACATGGCTTGTTATTGGTGTGTGAGTCTCAGCACCATTTACAGATATTGACATTTGTCTGAGCATGTAGGTTAAGATTTGGTGGGGTTAGTGACTGTGTGTTTCTCTACACACTCTTAATTAAGGGCAAAGCTAATATCTTTCAAGCAATAATTGAAAGTAGGATTCGGAGAGGAGAAGGAAGGAAGTAGTGGATATGAGAGGAGAATGTAAGTGACACCTGAAGAGAAGGAACGGATTGAAATCTAAAACTTAGTGTGATTCCCCATGACTCCAAGGAAGGACAGAGAAAAGTTCTCAGTAATGCAGAGTGAAAAACTGTCAGCGAGACATACATAAAATGAATAATATCACTTGGTCATCTGCTAGAAGTCACATTCTGCTACGCGTAGATCATCCAATAATTTCTTGAATTTCAATGCTGAAAATTCAATCAATGAAATTAAGGGAATTCCTGGATCCTGAAATGGGCTATAGGCAACAAAAAGATATCTTCTAGAAAGTTCAAGATAAGAGATGCTGAGATGAAATGGGTGGAAATTACAAACATAAAATATATTCCAAAGGATAAATAACATATGGGAAAGTTAAAGGTCAAAATTTATTTGACTTATAATATGAGGGGCTAAAAAGAGGACTCTATGGATCCAGAACAGAACATGATGTCTAGAAGCAGGCGGTTTTATCTGAGAATGCAGAACCTCTCAACATTTATTTTGATGATTGAATCTTTGCTATCAGGGAGCATGATCTTCAAACTGAAAAGAATAAAGCAAGCATGGTCAAGAGTTATTTGAAGTACATGAGAGGTGACAAGATAAGAGAGAACAATTTTAAGTCTCAGAGGATACATAAATAATTCCCAGAGCACAGAAAGAACAGCAAACCCAGAAAATGCAATCCTTTGAGACTATATTTATGATAAAAAAATGGGAAAAGTGGAAGGATGTAAGAAGGAAAAATCACTTTAATTACCTTTTATAAAAGAGAGAGAGAGAGATCATAAGCTGGCCCTGGTGCCTGTATGCTGGCAATTCAGAAGGCTGAGGCAAGAAGATCGCGTGTGCCCAGGAGTTCAAGGATCTGATGATGAACTATGATCATGTCATTGAACTCCAGTCTGGGCTACAGAGTGAGACCTCATCCCTAAAAAGAAAGAGAGGGAAGGGGAGAAGAAGGGAAAGGGAAAAGGGGAGGGGAGGAGAGAGGAGAGGAGAGGAGATCATAGACTCTAGGAAGTATAGAAACCATAATATCAAGTCAGAATGCTATAATATATTACTACATAGATAATTTGTACATATGAGAGTTTGAAGAAAGAAAAAGTGAGCATAAATAGTTTGTGGAGTGCCTTAGTCCATATTGTGATGCTGTAACAGAATGCCACAGATTAGGTAATTTATGAACAATAGAAGTTTATTTGGCTCACTGTTCTCAAGGGTTGAATGGCCAAAAATATAACACTGGGATCTGATCAGGGCCTTCTTGCTACATTATCTCATGGCTGAAGGTATTAGGGCAAGAGACCACAAAAAAGCAAGAGGGGTCTCCTGAACTTGCCTTTAACAGGAACCCACTCCTACGATAGAAGCATTAATCTATCCATGGGGGTAAAACCCAATCACCTCTTACAGGCTGTACTCCTCAATATGATGATACGATCACAACGGTGATTAAATTTCAACCTGAGTTTTGGAGGAGACATTCAAAACATAGTGTGGGGATATTCACAAAGGCTCTTCAGAGGAGGTGAATTTTGAACAATGAATATTAGGAACATTTTAACAGATTTGAAAGGGCGCTCAGACAGAACAAGGACAATGCACAGGTCATGTCATGCAATGGGAATACTCTTAGAGAGAAAGAAGCAAGAGGACACTTAGGTTTTTTTTTTTTTCCAAGTGGTATAAATATGGTAGAATACAAAGTAAATCTAGAGCTAAAAAATAATAAGTGGGAATATTATACTGGTAATGATAGTGTTAGCAAATGAGGTTAGCTTGCATGCCAAGCTAAATACTGACCTTTATTTTTTTATTTCAAGAAAGCATTGGTAAGAATTTTTTCATCTGTCTCTATCCACTTTAAACTCACAACCAATCCAAGAAGGAAGAAGTTGGGCTTGTATCAAAACATTTTTTGCAAATTCGAACATATTCAAGGTGTATTGCCACCTTTCTACATTACAGTACACCTCTAAGTAAACACTCCAACACTTCTTACACACTTTAAAGGTTTTTAGGTACTCATTTCTGAATGTGCCTCGGATCTTCTGATACGGGTTTTTTTTTTTTCTGATATGGGTTTTGTTTTATTTTTAAAAGATGTCAGCCTAGCAGGCAGAGTTGTGAAAAGAGTGATGGGAGTCAATGACCTTCAGAGGTCTCATGACCTAATTATTGAAGTTTGATCATGTGCATATTTTTAAATAAAAACTCAGGGAAGGTCCTGGTATTTCCAAGACTGGTACCCATCTATATCAAATCCCTTATCGTCCAGATGTTGTCACCACCACCCTTCTTAGGACTAAATGAAGACAGCAATACGGCTCTTTTTTGTGTGTGAAAAAACTCATTCCATTGTCTTAAGTTTCCATAATAAAGCACACAGTATATTTTTTCTGGGCAGTTGAAAAGAAAAAAAAAAAACACCATTACATTCCAATAGCAACATTCCAACATATATACTGGTAGACATTTTTATGGCTTATATAGTAACTTAAGCAATGAAGATCATAGATATAGAAAACTCAATCAAAAATTTAAAGCATAGGGATCCAGAGCGGAGTTTGTCTCTTGCTGGGCCCTGATCTGGGGTCCCCTCTTCGCCTTTTTTCATTCCCGGAATATCCAGATGTCTCTGCAGCAGCCTCTGTCACCCTGTGAGCTGCAGGTACTCGGAGATCTGTAGGGACGACACCCGGACTTCCCGGAAGCTGGGAAATGGAACTGCTGACATTCAAGGACGTGTCTGTGGAGTTCTCTATGGATGAGTGGGCCTGCCTGGACCCTGCTCAGCAGACTTTGTATCGGGATGTCATGTTGGAGAACTACAGACACCTGGTCTTCCTAGGTCTTACTCCATCTAAGCCCCACCTCATCACCTGTCTGGAGCAAAGCAGAGAATCCTGGAAGGTGAAGACACACCAGACAGTAGTCAAGCACCCAGCAGTATCTAACCATCCTGAGCAAGACCATTTGCAAGATCTGGACACAAATATTTTATTCCCAGAGATAATCCTAAGGAGATATCGCAACTGTGCACCTGACAATTTAAACTTAACAAAAGACTGTGCAGGTGTGTCTGAGTGTAAGCAGCAGAAAGTATGTGACAGTGGACTTGACCACTATTTAATGGCTACCCAAACCAAAACCTTCCAATGTAGTAAATGTTTGAAAGTCTTCACACAATTGTCAAATCTAGGTAGACATAAGATGATAGATACAGTAGGGAAAACATTTCACTGTATAAAGTATGGGAAAGCCTCTAACCCATGCTCACATGTTAGTAAACATGAGATAATTCATATTGGAGAAAAACAGTACAAACGTAAAGAAGGTAGCAGAGTCTTCAGATGTTGCTCAAACCTGTCTAAGCATAAGAGACGTCCTACTGGAGAAAAACTCTATAAGTGGGAAAATGATGGCAAATGTCTCCACAGATCAAAATATTGTACCCATGACAGTATTGATATTGGAGGAAAACCCTGCAACTATGAAGAATGTGACAAACTTACCAAGCAATACTCACAACTTTCTGGACATCAAAGAATTCATTCTGGAGACAAACCCTGCAAATGTCAAGAATGTGGGAAAGGCTTTAACAGTTCTTTAACCCTTTCTGGACATCAAAGAATTCATTCTGGAGA